CAGAGTAGCAGCCGTGTTAGTCTGTATCCGACAAAAAGAACAGGAGTACTAAGGTGCCACAAGTCCTCCTGTTCTTCTTTTTTTTGTAATTTTACTATCACCCCTTTCAACATAGTTTAGTAATCTCATTTCCTGATGAGAATATAAAATTAGCCTTCATTATATCAACATGCACATAAAGAGTCTAATTCGCTAAAACATGTTCATATACGCACATGCAGAGTAAAACAACACTTTTCAACGAAAGCTACTTTATTTCTTACCAGACTAAATTCAGTACAATATTGGTTTTCATAACATCCAACATGTCTTACGTCAAACTTAACCAGTCTTTGTGCAGTGACTACTGTGGTATGATGTTGTATTATATTTTGCTGCCCCTATGCAATTAATTTTGGCAGTACTGTAAGTCATATCAATGATCAAAATAGTTCTACTACAGTTTATCCTGCGTTCTCAATCAGTTTCTCTCTCACATCATCCAAAGACAATTTATGTGGTGTGATTACACTTTTTGCATACCAGGATTTCTAAAACTAAGAAGAACACAGATATTTAAAGTATCAGTGTATCTAGCCAAGGATAGCTCAATAAATTTAATCCACACATTATAGTTTAACTCCATGCTAGAATTGTTAAAACCCAAGATCTCCTGAGCCACATAATATCAATATTTCATATTAATGAATAAATTATTCACATTCAATACAAAGATATTGAGATAAGGAACACAGAAAAAGCCAAGCATTCAATAGCTTTCAAAAATACAGAAGCAAACTAATACATTTAACAAAAGATATGCTAACCAATCTCAAACCAAACTAGCTAAAGAGTAACTTTAAAAAAAAATACATTTCAGAACCTCGTGATACCCCCTTTAAAAGTATTAAACCAAGGGTATAAGAACAATACTCATTATTTCAGCTGCTTTGCAGCTTTTTAAGATTCAGATTGTGTAAATGTAATGTTTTGATTACACTTAAATATTTTAAAACAGAGATATAATTTTTTTAAAGAATATGCACAAATGATTTGAACAAGTTTTACCTTCACTACATTGCATGGTTTCACAATGGCAGTTTTATAATATCACTAATTTAGGAGAATCTGGTGCATTTCCTTTCATAAATTTAGATTCTAAAATTTCAAATTCATAAATATGTCAATATTTTAAATATTTAATTTTTACATTAATACTGGGTATGTTTAGCATTGCTTTCCTCCTGTTTCCAGGTATTAGTTTGACAAGGAAAACATTTTTACATCACAATCAAAACTTGTCTGTTACTAGACTGCAGCCTATGGTGGGTTACAGTCACAGATTCATTATTTGAAAACATGTTTACTAAGGCAAACCTAAAAGAAACTTATCACTTAGAAGAATTTCACACTGTGCTTACCTGCACTGCAGAGTGGCAGTTAAAATAATCACATTACTTAAACTAACAAATCTGACAAGTTAATGTATTGCTGAAGCTGCTAATATAACCTGTTAGTTCAGTGGGTTAGTCTGGTTGTTAGTCTCCAATTAGTTAGAAATTGGACCTTTTTTTTTTTTTTTTGGAGAAGCTGAACTTGCTTCATTCAGGTATTAACTTTAAATTTGGAAGAAAATCAATTAATTTGTCAAGCTTTAAGAGTTCATTTAAAATACTCACAGTACACTGTGTCTTGCCAAACCCACACTGCAAATTTTACTCTTGTATGGGTTAACATTTCATTAGTGTTTGTTTGTTTGTTTCACCTCTCTGATTCAAGAGGTTGCTGCTGTTCATATTTTCACATGCTTTATCTTCAGACTGTACCATCTCCTGAAAAGCTTTCTCCACATCTACTTGTCCAGCTATAGTGGTAGTTTTTGGTAAGGTCATCTGAAGTGCACACCAAAGGGTAGTACGTGCTTTGCGTGTTGCTACACTCATCTCTTTAATTGCCAAAGCGAGGGCAAAAACATCTGTGGAGAAGAAAAGGGTATTACACGTCCACTAAATATTGTTAATATTAAGACACCATTTGAGAAATTGGTTTCAGAGTAGCAGCCGTGTTAGTCTGTATCCGCAAAAAGAACAGGAGTACTAAGGTGCCACAAGTACTCCTGTTCTTTTTTCATTTGAGAAATGTTTGTCACTGAGATTAGATAAACTCCTGAAGAACACTCAGAACCCTGTATTGCTGCCCTATGAGGATGGGTGGGACTCCCTTTTGAGTCTATCAATATAGCATCTTAAATCAGAAAGTGGGAGTGGCACAAATGATTTTAGGCACTTAGACCCAGATCCTCCAAGGTACTTTGGCACCTAACTCCTGATGCCTAAATACCTTTGAATACCTTTGAAACTGGGCCTCTGATACTAGAGTGATGAGTTCAATATAGAAACCTCTTGCTTAGCGCATGAACTCGCTACTTATATCTACCTCCTGCTAACCTCTTATAAATTGGTTAATTACATTTACCTACTGTTCAAAAATTTTACTCTACATTCCTAGCTAAAAGGGATCAGTTTAAACCATAGAAAAAATCTGCCATTTTTCCTGAGTCAAAAGCTCAGTCTCACAATAAAAATGAAAAAGTTTAAAAAAAAAACACACTATTTCCTATTATTATGGAATTATGATAGATTTAGACTTATTCTGCTACAATAGGAGACTGCAGAAGGACATTTATACCTCTGTCATCTTGGCATCTCGGAGCTCCTTGCCTTTGCCGATTTGAAGCATTTATAATTTCATCCTTTCTACGTGACTGCACTATATGAATTACCTCCAGATGTTTATCAAGAGCAGTGGAGATATTAGCATGAAGGGGAGAACTGCGAAGACGTTCCATTTTTCCAAGTAAAGTCACCACCTAATGAACATTTTATATCTGTTATTGATCATGTTGTCTTCATCTAGACTTAAGTGAAAATTAAACTGAAGTAGAAAATGTTATGCTTTTGAAAATCGGTAAAATCCTTACCTGTAATTTTATCTTCTCCAAACAAGAAGCCAAACAGTGCTTGGTTTGGGGATAGTAAAACAAAACAAACAAAAAAACCCAGTACTGATGGGCTTTTCAGCCAAGATTTCCAAAATTAACTAGTGATTTTGGGTGCCTCAATGTTTGGGTACACACACTGGGAAACCTTTAAAAAGGGACTGATTTTCAGAAAGTGGGTGCTCACCACTTTCCGAAAGTCAGCCCCTTATACTGAGTCTCAATCAGGCACCCAAAATTACCAGTCACTTTTGAAAATCTTAGCCTTTGCCTTCATTCCACACTTTGGAGTAGACACAAGCTGAATGCCAGCTCCTCCTGTTAAGCACACTTGTTAAGCTTCCCTGAGAATTTACTGCTATAGCTGAGAAGACATACTTTAGGACTAAGAACCACGTTAGTAAAGCGTCAAGGCTGAAATTTGTTTAAAAACAATTGAAATGCTTTGCTAAAAGCAACGGTTGAGATTTTTAGGACAGTGTGGACTACTTAGCAATATTTCTTCCATTAGTAATTGAAGAGGTAAGTGTGCTAAAACCCCTGTACAGTTTTTGAAAATCTCAAACATCTCTCCCGGGTCCACCTTTGAAATGTGGAACAAAGCTGGAAAAATCCCTCTGCTGTGGAAGAAGCTCCTTATCACATTTCGATTTATAGAGTTTTACAAAACTGTCAGTTACTCTTTGTGTTTTCCATCACAGATGAGCAAGTCTGAGAGTAAATAGCATTCTACCTTAAAAAAAAAAAAAAAAAAAAAAAAAAAAAAAAAGCGCCAATACCCTTCCTTTATTATTTCAATTTTGGTACCACCTATTACATGTTAAGTATTTTCCAAACACAGGAGTCCTGGTCCCTACCGCATAAAAGCTCAATCTAAAAAAACAAGAACACATAATCGTAAGGGAGTGGGGGAAACATGCATCTTATTAGTTAATTTAAAAAAAAAAAACGACAAACCATTGCCTGCAGTCCTTCCAACCAGTCACTATCAATTATACACTGCTTGCCCTCAATTCTCAGCTACGTTCAATCCAGAGGCGCCAGAACAGCGAGGGCCAGGGTCCCCTCACTTTTTACTTGCCATAAGGACGAGCGATGTGGGATCTCAGGGGAAGAGGCAGTGTGAGGGCTCGGGGAGAAGTTGCAGGGCCTCGAGGTGGCGCAAGGGTGGTGAGGCCACAGTTCGGGCACCGGTGGCCCCCCCATTGTTAGGAAGCTTCCGATGCCCCTGGTTCAATCCCTGTCCACTCACCAGCCGCAGTACATCTGCCTATCCCTTCAGCATCTATTATTCTTATTCAATGATTTTTCAGCCTCTCAACCCTCTACAAATGTTCTTATCCCTTATTCCATCACAACCACTGTATTTTAAATCGTCGTTCACACATATATGAAACCTGTAAGCATCACGCAGTTTGTTATTTTAAGTATTTGAGCTTATTTTCTAATGACTTTCTGCAGTTCAAAACAAGAAGTGAACCTGCTAAACGAAACATGAGCAACCCAACCAGACTGTAGGATGGCTGACTTCTACTTATTGATCCTGGTGTCCTAGCAAAGTCCCAAGCTAGGCATTTACATGCGGTCCACCTATACTTCTCCTCTATTTAATTCCCTTCATATCCCAAATTGTTGGGCAGTTGGCCTGTAAATCTGTCTATAAATAGATGCATCATGTTCCACCCCACTGGAAACTACAGTGTTATGTCAAGTGAATTGAGTTGTACTATTCTAAACAACTCTGGGGTATGAAACTGTAAAATGGTGATAGCATACTTCAAAATCAGTTTTACTTCTTGAAATAAAGAAAAGGAGAACATTTGGCTATGGCAGTTATCTAGTCCATTAACATTTTCTAATAATCCCATTACACAACAGAAGTAAAAATAGTAAACACAGTACTAAGTTTCATTAGCAGAATAAAGTATGAAAAAAGGGTGATACCATTCCAGTAGGATTCAGACTTAAATTGGAATGCTGTGTGCTACACTGGCCGTCTTTGGGAAAGGATGTAGTACAAGACAATGATACCAAACCTGAAGAATCTAAGTTATGCTAGATATTAAAGGATTTGGGCTTTTTTGTAATGATTAATCTAAAGAGACCTAAAATTATGAAAGGTATTCATATAGGTGACAGAACTTACAGTGGTAGGCGGGCGATGGGAGAGTCAAAAACTAGAACATAAATTAAGCCTACCTTCCTCACATTTATGTTAAGGAACTGGGGGAGAACACCTTCACACAAAGGGTAAATAAAATCAGTTGCTAGGGACGGTGGGAACCATTCTACAGTAATAATTCAAAGGGACAGGAGAACAGCAGTGTTGCCGCTTCTTAAGTTTATATGTTTATGAGTTCTGTAGTTTGAGTTCATTTCAAGATATCCTTTCTAACTTTACTTAATTGTAAAGAATACATGTTTCATGAGGACTTCCACTCAGGGCCGGCTTTAGGCCAATTCCACCAATTCCCCCGAATCGGGCCCCGCGCCCAGTGGCAGGGCCACCGGTCAGGGCCACCGGGGTGGCCGAGAATCCCTTCCCTGGCTAGAGGCTCCTTTTTAATTTTTACTCACCCGGCAGCGCTCTGGGTCTTCGGCGGCACTTCAGCGGCAGGTCCTTCACTCGCTCTGGGTCTTCGGCAGCCCTTCGGCAGCAGGTCCTTCGGTGCCACCAAAGACCGGGAGCGAGTGAAGGACAAACTGCCGAAGACTACGAGTGCCGCCCGGTGAGTACAAGCCCCACATGTTTTTTTACGTTTTTTTTTTTTTCCCTTCAGTCATCCCTGCCGGGGCCCCGTCAAAACTGTTCGAATCGGGCCCTGCACTTCCTAAAGCCGGCTCTGCTTCCACTTATGACAAGTATATAAGTAATCTAAATGGCATAAAATTATGTATTACTAGTCAACTCACTCTGGCTTGTTCACGTAGCTGATCCACAATTAAGCGATCAACTCTTGATGGGTTTGATGTCAACCTTGGAATTGGAGTGTTGTTAGTACTGGAAACCTTTTTCCCTGGGTAGTTCTTGGCAAGAGCAGATTCAGTCTGAGAAAAAATATGACTTAGTTTTCTTGTGATATTAATGAAGTGTGTTGTCTAATTATTCTTATAGTGAACAATAATAAACTATCAGATTGTAAGAGTGGTATCTTTCCCCCAGGAAGCTTTTCTCCTAAAAATTCTTAAAAAAAAAAAGTAGGGGCTGAAATGCATATAGTTGTAGAAATCATGTGGCTTGAAAACTCCTAGTTTGGGCTAGCATTCAGTCTGGTCATTGAGCAGACACTTAACACCAGATCACTAGCTCCCAAAGTGGATTTGGCAATCCTCTGTCATTTAAAAAGACTAAGCTGCCCATCCACTTCAAAGGAGCTTCTAGAATGACTGTATTTAAACTAAGTATTTAGGGCTAGTTCCACAAAGAGGACTCAGGATTGCAATCTCTAACATTTAGGTGCCTAGTTGCCTAGCTCTGAGATAGACACCTGGGCTCCCTGAACAATGCATAGGGAATTAAATCCCTAAGATTGACTCATAGAATATCAGGGTTGGAAGGGACCTCAGGAGGCCATCTAGTCCAATCCCCTGCTCAAAGCAGGACCAATCCCCAGACAGATTTTTGCTCCACATCCCTAAATGGCCCCCTCAAGGATTGAACTCAAACCCTGGGTTTAGCAGGCCAATGCTCAAACCACTGAGCTATCCCTCCCCTCGTTCTGTCATCTACTACCACTGAAAGCAGACTAGATCCATCCTCTTCGGAATCGCCGTTCAGGTAGTTGAAAGCAGCTATCAAATCCCCCCTCATTCTTCTCTTCTGCAGATTGAATAATCCGGTTCCCTCAGCCTCTCCTCATAAATCATGTGCTCCAACCCTCTAATCATTTTGTTGCCCTCTGCTGGACTCTTTCCAATTTTTCCACACCCTTCTTGTAGTGTGGGGCCCAAACCTGGACACAGTACTCCAGATGAGGCCTCACCAATGCCGAATAGAGGGGAATGATCACGTCCCTCGATCTGCAATGCTCCTACTTATACAGCCCAAAATGCCGTTAGCCTTCTTGGCAACAAGGGCACACTGTTGACTCGTATCCAGCTTCTCATCCATGGTAACCTCTAGGTCCTTTTCTGCAGAACTGCTGCCTAGCCACTCGGTCCCTAGTCTGCACTTTTCCTTGTTGAACCTCATCAGATTTCTTTTGGCCCAATCCCCTAATTTGTCTAGGTCCCCCTGTATCCTATCCCTACTCTTCAGCATATCTACCACTCCTCCCAATTTAGTTTAATTTGGGATTCACAGAAGACAGCAAGCTGATCGGCGAGCTGCCTAAGATAGCCAGCAGGAAATGCCAAGGAGAGAGGTGGGGGCCTTGGCTTCCCCCTCAAAGGGAGTTAGGTACCTAACTCTAGTGTGGTACCTAATGCTCTCCTGAGTTAGACGCCTAAGATAGGTCAGCCCTTTCTCCCAAAAAGAGTGAGGAGAAGGTGACTGTTGTCATGCCCCATTTTATAGTCTAATAGTTAGGGCACTCCTCCAGAATGTTGGAAACCCAGCTTCAAGTCCCCACTCTGCTTAATTCCAAAATCTGAACTTGAACCCAGGTCTCCCACCTCCTAGGTGAGAGTGCCCTGACCACCAGACTATAGGCTATTCTGAGGTAGGCCCTCTCAATCTCTCCCTTTAAAACTGTTCCACGTTGTATAAAATACTTAAATATTCATAGGAGCAGGGACTGGAATCTGGATCTCCCAGGTGACCGCCCTGAACACTGGGCTGTAGAGACAGTGAGTCATTCTCTGTCTCAATATGCCGGGGAACTTTACGGGCAGAAATGTAGGCACCTACATGGTGAGGCAGTAACTGAGCTGGGTTTTGAGGATCTAAACTTTGGACTTAGATGTCAAAATCCCTTTGTGGATCTAGCTCTCGCTGTAAAATTTGTATCCTCAAACTATGAGCACTGGACACCAGTTTTGCCAACAGTATGCATCACAGTATCAAGAACCCATTTTCATAACTGCACTTGCTTTTGATAGAATGGATATGGCTGATTCATGTATATTTTAATATTGATTAAATTAATTTCCAGACAAAAATAACTACTTCAAGCTAGAGCTAAGGTTAGAGTACATATCAGTAATTTCAGATAAAATACATTACAGGGATGTTGCAATTATCTCCAAATCAAGTGTTTTTAAACAAAGAAATTCAAGAAGTATGGTTAAACTTATAAGAAACCTAAAATTAAGGTACAAAAGTGCAGAATTAGAGCACTTTCTTAACTCTTCTTTGTAGAGGTACCATGAAATACCTGTAAGATTAAGGGATTTTAATGTTTGTGGTCCCAGATTAAATTAATGGTGTCATGATAGGACAGAGTAACTGCATTTCCTGTTTGGATTTTTTAAAGTTTAAACCTTGCCTCAAATTTCCTGGGTTAACAATGGTTGGTTTCTGGATAACAACATCCCTGCAATGTACTTTATCTAGAATTAATTGTATGTATTCTCAATCTTAATTCCATTTTAACAATTTTTGTCTGGAATTTCCTTATTTTTTTACTTCAAAATTTCATATATGAATATTAAACAAAACACTCAGGGAGAACATTACCATGTGATATTTTAATGATTTGAAAATATGAAATTTTTCAAACCAAGTTGTTGTTGTTTTTAACTTTTATGACCAGATTCACCAATACACTGTGGCCATTTTATGCCGCTCTGGAGCAGCACAATGCAGCCAGAGCATACTGGCCAGATAAGCTAGGTTTACAATTGCTTTGTTTCACCAAATTCTCCCTCTCTCTTGAGCCTCACTATACTGCTCTGCAGACACACAAACTTAGTTTCCCTCTTCCTCCTGCACTTTCAGCATTCCCCCTCTGCACAGACACACTGCTCCCTCTGTCTGTTTCTCTCCCTCTCACATACATACATACATACATACATACATACACACACACAAGTTCCTCCTCCCTCCTGCCCTTTAGCAAAACTGGTGCAACAATGAGATTTTGAAAATAAATATTTGGGATTAATGGTAATTTTAATCAATATTTTTCGTAAGAGTTTCTCTTTCAGTAGAGACTGGAGTTTCCTTACAAAAACTCAGGAAGAACTGCTCTTTCAACAGGGCCAGAGGCCCATTGTTTCCCATTAGCTAAACTTCCCTAATGGAAGGCTCCCTATGGTGTCAGATGGTGAAGAGCAACAAGTTTAACTGAGAAAGTTTCATATTTTCTAGGGACAGCCTGTGGCTTCAATCCCACTGAGAACAACTGGAAATGGCAGCCATTATGGGTATGTCGACACAGCATTTTGGAGCATGCAAGAGTGAGTCTCCCAGCCCAGCTCGACAGGTTCAGGCTACAGGGGCTTGCATTAGCACTCTAAATATAGCTGTGTAGACAGCACTTTTAAGTTATGGCTCAGGCTGGCACTCTGGCTCTGAAGCCCAGCCCCCTGCTGAGGCTGGGCTTCAGAGCCTGAGCTCCAGACTGAGCCATAACTTCAAAGTGCTGTCTGCACAGCTAAATGCTGTGTAGGCATACCCTTAGAAAGAAGGCAGATCTTTACGGACTTCTCTGTAGAAGAACGTTATTCTTCAGCCTTTGCTAAAGGGCAAAATTTCATTTATGAAAAATGACAAAAAATTACTTGTAATTCTAAATAAGTCCTCAAATACAGCTTGTGCCCAAGATTCCAGTGAGTTTAACTGTAAGAGAAGTTTGAAGAGTCTGCTATTCCATTATAAAGATCGTTAGGGGTTAAAAAAAGTTTGACACCGGTTGTTAAATTTCTTAAAGGATCAATTTTAAAATTAACTCCTAACCGAATTAATGGAAATACTTGTAAATTCTCTGGAAATTCACTGTACACTCAAACAGTAAAAGCTGCAGTTTTGGTGAAGATATATATGAAAAATATAATGTAAGAGAAGTTGAACCGCTGCTTTAGGTGCAAAACTCAATTAAAGTTTAACTGTGAAGCTGCAGGCAATGCACATAATCACAGATATCAAGATTTAACTTTGTATTTCCTGTTTTCAGTCCACTTTGCAGAAAAAGCGAATTTCCTCCCTAAACCCCCATTTTAGGACTTCATCACTTTCAAACCTTAACACAGTAAGAACCGTCTAGATTTAAATTTGCTATCTACAGAACATAGAGATTGTCATGTCATAGTATAATGGAACTCTTTTGTATAAATAACTCTGGTTATTACCTTTTTTCTTTCCTTTTCCAATGCTCTCCATTGTTCATAACATTCTTCCAGTCTAATATGAAGTTCACTGGCAGGCCCACTACGAGTTTTAATTGGTCTTTGAAAGCCAAATGTTGGTACAAAACCAGAGAAAGAACCATCACCATACATCATTTCATTAAAATAAGGATATAAATTACTTAAATCATCATAAGAAAACAAATCATAGGAATCCATCGGGGGAACAACTGAATGGCCAAATGGATGAGTGGATCGCAAGGGAAACCCATTAGAACCAAGTTGCTGAAAGTTATGATTGCGTCTTAAATCTCCCATCATATAATTGTTTGAAAAGCAGGAAGCCTGTGTGCGATTTACACGACTATTGACAATATTGCTGTCTCCACTTCCCTGTCTGTGGCTATTAAAGTGACCATGAGACTCCAACAGATCCTGGTATGTGTTCTGTGGCAATCCATCTAGATGTTTTTGTCCTTCCTCAGGATCATAATGTCCACTTTGTGGCTTAGCTTGGAAGTTGTGTTTGTTCAAATTTTCAGTGATCCCATATTGTTGAGCTGAATAGTTCTCACAAAAACCATTTGACTGCTTAATTTTTTTATCAGTAACTGATTCAAAGAGACTCTCTTCTCCAGTCTTAGTTAGTCTTTCCATACGATTAGCAGGCTGAATTCGTTCTGCAGTATTATAACTGAAATCAAAACTAGAAAATGCTGAAGGATTTTCTTGGCAGAATTTCTGAAACAAGTTACCATTTAAAGTTAAATTTGAAGATGACAATTGAGAAAAATCATTAGAATTATTGGAACCTTTTGGAGTAGCAGACAGATGGTTACTCAACTTCATCAAGGTGCTTGGATTCTGGTACAGGACAGAAGTATTGTTTTTAGTTTGAATATTCATCCAAGTTGGCCTTACACTAGTGCCTGCTGACGTGGTTGCTGAGTTTGATAATAAGGTAAGTGATTTAAAATATTCAGAATTCTGGGAATCAGATTTGGAAAAGAGTTGTTTTTCGGTGGCATTTGCAAAATCACTACTTCCTGGACAAGCTGCATGAGATTTTAGTCCATACTCAGATTTTAAACCAAAGTCAGTGGTAAATGATGGTTCATTTCCAAACTGCTTTTCTGACAAGAGTCCTGTAGTTTTAGAAAATGTAAAGTTCTGCTGATCTGGAATTGTATCTTCAATTTTTTTCTGAATTGCTGGTTTAACTTGAAATAATTTAGTGTAGGTATCTGTATCCACAGCTGGTGCTTCAGGTATTCCATTTGTTAATGTTTTACTATCTTGGACACTGAAGTTTGTACTTTTATTATGCTTTGCTTTACTGGGATGAGAATATTCTGGGTATCTACAATAATCTGCATTTTCACTGTATCTGTTAAGTTGTGGAAGAAACATTTCTGCCCGCTTTTGGTGTAACTGCACTTCAGGCCCTTTGGCACACACTTTATCTCTTCCATATGAATAAGTATCTGCTCCTGATTCTTTTATTACTTCTGAAAAACCCGTTTGTGGTATAAAAGAGTTTTTGATATATGAATAGCTTTGTAAGGGAGGTGTTTTAGCATTCTCATTGGTCTGCATGTTGTAACAGCTGGCATGATCATTCCTAGAAGGGTACAACCATTGCTCTTCCAGGTCCATACTAGTAAACCCATGATAAAGTTCATCTATTTTCTGTTGTGATGCTAGATTGCCACTGTGCAAGCATGGTTTTTCAGCAGCAGATATGGATTCACCAGTATAAAAAACCTGTTGAGAGACAGCTGCAACTACAGGCCTTTTTGATTCCGACAACAGGTCATGGTGGTCTGCAAATCTAGTTGTGTTCACAGGCCATACTGACTTTAAATTTGAGGAGCAGGTCCTAGAAGAGGTAAACAAGCATGTATTTACAGTTCTGTCCTTGGTATTCCTCCCAGGGAGCAGAGGAAAGAGAGAGATCATCTCTCTTCTTCCCTTAGATCCCCCACCATTTCCCCTGTATTTTATACATTCCATATCCCAATATACTATCATGACCATCATCTTTCTTTTATCATCTACTCAACATTCCCTTTAAACTGAAGGGCTGCTTCCAACTGGTGCACAATTCCATCAAAGGGCTAGGTTGTGTCTATGCAGCAATATATACATATATCACACTGGAGAAAGATTTGCCATCTGACACTGCTCAAATGGAAATATAGCACTCACAGATCCTGATACTCCATGACCATTGTATTTATTTTAACTTGCAAAATAACTCCCAAACCACCACCATACCCCCAAATCCACCTTTTGGTACTCAGATCATAAGGCTTCTCTGTACTATCTTGATTACATCTTCAGGAGTGCTTGTGCTTTACATTATCTCACTGTCTCCTGCAGGCAAATCAAACCACTGAGCATAAATGAAGGAATATGAATGTGCCAGCTCACTAACTTTGGCTGCTTATGTGGAGTAACACAGAGAAAAAAAATGAAGGACTTATCAGTAAAGTAATAAGCAGACTGTAAAGATTAGAATTACACCTAAAAATCATTAAACCATGTAGAAAGACCACAAAATTGACACTGAAAAGAGAGCTCCATTTCTAATTGTATTTTATGTAAATTCTTCACTTGGAGGTCTTTCAATCAAGGTTGAATCTCATTCTAAGATATGCTTAGGTTTAACCAAACATCATTGAGCTAGATGCAGGAATCACTGGGTAAAATTCTTTGGCCTCTGTTATGCAGATCAGAGAGGAAGGATGGTGCAGTGGTTCAGATGCTAGTCTAGGACTCTGGAGATCTGTGTTCAATTTCCTGCTCAACCACAGATGTCCTGTGTGCCCTTTGGCAAGTCATTGAGTCTCACTGAGCCTCAGTTCCCCCATCTGTAACATGGGAATAATATGTCTTTCACAGCAGTTCGCCAAGGATAAATACTTTAAAGATTGTGAGGCGCTCAAATGGGGGCCTTAGACAGACTAGATGATCATAATGGTCTCTTCTAACCTTATTCTATCTATGAAGCATTAATTGGAAAGCTAGGTAATTACCAAATTCTGCATAGGTAGTACTAAAAGGAATATTTTATGCTCTACAGTTTGCATGTAGGATTTTTCCCCATCTTTTCAAATATTAATGAAATTTATTGAAAAAGCAAAATAAAAAATTATACTTGCTTGTTTTGAGCATTTAATTTAACTGAAAAAAAAAAAAAATTCTAACCTTGAATTTAAATCAATTCTGGTGTAGGAAATTAGCACAAGGCTGCAGGATTCAATGGGACATGGTTATAATATTTGCATAAGACATTTCCAGAATGCCATGAAGAGGAATTGGTATTTACAGCACTTGCTACAAAGAAAGTGAAAATCTAAAAGGAGTATTTGAATAGCTGGTCAAAAATGAGTATCGCTTTTAGTAAGCTCACCCATCTTTTAGTAGGGTTTGAAATGGGTTGCAGAAGTTGCAAGCTTCCCTCCGGGACCAGTAAATGCAGAAATGGCTACTGAAACAAGCAAACTGAAAAAGAAAGGGAAACGCTTCTGCAAGGGGAGGGAGAAGATTAGTAGTCCATGTACAGCAATATACTAACCCCTCAGCAAAATATGGCTGTGATTTATCTTGTTCTTCCAAGATGTTAGATACAAGTCCATATAAGTCTGTTTCACTGCCGTAATCATTTCTCTCAGTTTGAATCCTGAAAAGAAAATAAACATTTGGATAATTACCTCCTTTGAATTCTCTCTTTAAAAGGCTCAATGAAAATCTCAAATATGGCCACCAGAGACTACTCATTTTACAGTCTTTATGTTCCTTTATTCTAAAATTGGTTTGTAAATCAAATTAATCTATCTTGTGTAGAGCAAAAATAGGGTGTACTGACATAGGGCCTGCTCCTGAAACTTGCTGAACACCTTCAACTCAATGACTTCAACGGAATTGAGGTTACTCAACACTTTACAATATTGGGCTCAGTGTGCAAAAACAAACTGTCCTACATTAAAAAAAACCAAACTAAGAGGTCTATCGATATCGGTCTTTTTTTTTTTTTTTTACAATTACAAACAGTTGCGTGTGTAAAAGTACTTTTTGCCAATACAGTCTCTCAGCTCAGATCTAGGTATTCAGGCACCCCATGCTTTGTATTGTATTAATTTAGATACCTAAAGGAAAGGCTCCTCAGAAGCCAGCAAGCTAAGCAGGGAGACACCTAAGATAGCCAGGAGTGAAATGCCAAGGAGAGGGACAGGGAGAGAAGAGGGGCTTAGGCACTGAACTGGTGCGCATGGCTGATAAGTGGATGGAGGCATCAACCTCTGGCTTGAGACCCTCAACTGTGAACAGACTTCTGGATTTAGGCAGCTAAGCAAGGTCAGCTGCTTAGGTAGCCCATGCCCTAGCAGTCGTGGGTAGAGCCCCCCTTTGGGGAGGCTAGCCCCCGGCTCTGCCCCCTCCCCCCCAACCCTACTGCAGCCGGAGTCCCGAGACACCCCACTTCAGCCAGAGGAGCACTGGGCCAGCTGGAGCCCTGAGCCTCCTGCCTCCCACCCCCAGCTGCACCGTGCCTCCCCAGACCCCAAACTGCCCCGTGGGAAAAGCTCGTTTCTTCTCTCTTCCGGAAGAAGACCCTGAGTATTTGATATGCGCCATGCAGGTTCCAGGGGAGCTGAGGAGGTGTGTGTGTTACTCAGCTTCCCGGGTTTATCAACAATCTCCCTAGAGTCCAGGGAGATTACTGATGAACCCAGGACACTGAATAGCAGATACCACCTCCTCAGTTGCCCTGGAACCTGCATGGAGCATAATAATAAGCAAAAACCTCCCCCCCCCCCCCCCCGACCAACCT